TGGAATACTATTGTGCTATAAGAAATGATGAACAGGTGGACTTCAGAAAAGACTTGTATGGACTGACGCAGAGTGAGAACCAGGAGAGCATCGTACACAGTAACAAACATGTTGTGCGATGACTAACTTTGATAGACTTGGCTCTTCTCAGCAATGCAAGGATCTATGACATCTCTAAAAGTTTCATGATGGAAAATGCTATCCACATCCAGAGAAAGAACTATGGAGTTTGAATGCAGATCAAAGCATAGTATTTGTTCTTTTCTTTTTCTTCTGTTTTGTTTTGTTTCTTCTTTTCTTGTGGTTCCCCCTATTGGTTCTAATTCTTTTTTACAACATGACTAATGTGAAGATATGTTTAATAGGAATGTACAGGTAGAGCCCACATCAGATTATATGCCGTCTTGGGAAGGGAGGTAGGGAAGAAGGGGGAGAAAAATTTAAAACTCAAAAGCTTATGGAAGTGAATGTTAAAAAACTAAAAATAAGTTAAAATTAATAAAATTTTAAAAAAAGAAATGATGAGCAAGTAGACTTCAGAAAAACCTGGAAAGACTTAAATGAACTGATGCTGAGTGAAGTGAGCAGAACCAGGAGAACACTGAACATGGTAACAGCAACACTGTGTGATGATCAACTATGATCGAATTAGCTCTTCTCAGCAATACAATGATCCAAGAAGCAAAAAAAAGACTTATGATGGAAAATGCTACCCACATCTAGAGAAAGAACTAAGTCTGAATGCAGATCAAAGCATACTATTTTCACTTTCTTTTTTTTCGTGTTTTTTCCTTTTGTTTTGTTTCTTCTTTCACAACATGATTAATATTGAAATATTTTTAATATGATTGTATATGTATAACCTGTATCAGATTGCTTCCCATCTTGGGGAGGGAGAGAGGGAGGGGAAAAAAAATTTGGAATTCAAAATCTTATAAAAAATGAATGTTGAAAATTGTCTTTACATGTAACTGGAAAAAATAAAATACTACTTACATGTTTAAAAAATGTTTCCTTGCTTCTGGAATATCATATTCTAAGCTCTCCACTCTTTTAAAGTGGTAGCTGCTAAACTGCTGTGATCTCAACTCCGGCTCTTTCAACTCTTGGTACTTTCTTTCCTTCTGCTTCTTGCAATACTTTCTCTCTGACCTAGAAGTTCTGGATTTTGGAGTTTCTTTCAGGAGATTACTAGTAAATTCTCTGAATTTCTACTTTGACCTCATGTTCCAAGAGATCTGGCAGTTTCCTTTATGATTTCATGAAATATGTTGTCTAGTCCCTGTTTTTTTTCAGTCTTGGCTTTCAGAAGTCCAGTGATTTGATTCTTAAATTATCTTTCCTCGATCTATTTTCTAGCTTATTTATTTATTTATTTTGCCATGAGATAACTTGTATTTTCTTCTGTTTTTTTTTTCAGTCTTTTGAACATATTTTAACATTTCTTCATGTCTCATGGCAGCTTTAGTTTCTTTTTGGTCCACTTGAATATTCAATAACCTATTTTCTTGGCTAAGGTTTTGTATCTCATTTCAAGTTATTGATTTTCTTTCTGTAACTTTCTTCTTTCACTGCTTTTCTCATTCTTTTCTCTACCACTCTCATTTTGTTGTTAAAATAATTTAGCTCTTTTTAAAAACTCTCATTTTATCACTTGCAGGAACTCCAGTTGGACTTGTGCTCAAACTTCATATCTCTTTGAGCCTTTGCTTATACATATTTTCACATCCACATCATTCTCTGTTTTTTGGGTTTCTGTCCTGCATTTATTTGTTGCCATAACAGCTTGCTGTGGTAGGATTCTTTTTTAATTTGTTCATTTGTCCAGCCTACTTTTTTATTTTATCTTAGAGGTAGGTGCTATGCACATCCGGACAGAATATCTGGGCTGAGCTTCTGTCCTTGAGTCCTCTGCTATTCTCTTGGAGTACTGCTTCTTGGATCATTGTATTGCTGAGAAGAGCTAATTCCATCACAGCTGATCATCGCACAGTGTTGCTGTTACCATGTTCAATGTTCTCCTGGTTCTGCTCACTTCACTCAGCATCAGGACTTCAAGGATAGCTCAGGCAAGGGACTTCCAAATTTTCAGTACTCCCAAAGTGATAAGATCTATTCTAGGGCAAAATCTGCTCACTGCCCTGCTGGTCTGCATATAAAGTTCCTGACTCAGGTTTGGGTCTGAGCAAGACTTCTGTTGGCTTGTCCTAAAGTTCTAAGTTTGGAAGTTTCTGCTGCTAGATTCAGTCACTATTAGTTCACTGGGAGGCTCTGCAGGTTCATTGTAACTGAACTTCAGGCTCCCCTTTGGTATGGTATTCCTGACCTCATTATTCCACTGCAGGCTTCAGTCTTAGCTAGAGGACAGAATCAAGCCCTTGCTCTGCTTTTCTGATTAAAGCCACACAGCTACTGTGGCTTCTAAACTTGCTTTTCATTTGGTACTTATCTAGGGCCCATGACTGTGACCATAATTCTCTGCCACTCCTAGGCACAGGACTCTCCCTTATCTGGATCTATGACCCAGAACTTGGTAGTAAATGACAGAGCTGCCAGATGGCACCAATTCCTGCAACCTGTGCTACTTCAGAGATGCCCCTGAGACTTTTTCTTCCCGCAGGGCCAAGTCTTGGCTCTCTGGATGAGTCCCTGGGTGCTCTAACCCTCCACACAGTATGTTACTGACCAGACTTGCTCCCTAGTGTCTCCAGAGTTCCCTGTTTATCTAACCCAACCTGGGCTGGAAAAATGACTCATGGATTTTTTCTGGCATCTGCTGATCAAAATTCAGTTTGGTGTATTTTCTAGATGGCTGTCGAGAATGCATAGTGGGGAGGATGGGCTATACTTCCACTCTATTACTTTGATTCCACCTACTGAGGCACCCTCAATTTAGATTTTAAAAAGAAAGATATATATGTGGAAGATGGAAGCCATGATAAACCCCAAAGCACGGCATAATCTTATAAAAATCGCACCATGAGAGCTAAAGCTCAGACTAAGCTGAGGCTGTTAAGGAAAGTTAAGGATAACCTAATGGTTTGGGTTTTGGTTTTTTTTAGCTGTAATAGTAAAGTGTATTCAAGAAGGAACTGGTTTTGATGGCTGTTGGGGTGGACAGGACAAGTGTAACTAACAACTGAAAACAGGCATAGCTACTTAATTCTTATTTTGCACCTATTTTTTTCATTCCTAAGATAACCCCTAGATGAGAAATAAGAGGGTAAAAATAGTTAATATAGAGATGATCCTCATGATAATAAAGACGATAGCTACCTCTGATGAACTCTAGTAACCTTGACCAGATGAATTATATCCTCAAAGAACAAAAGAACTGGTGGATGTGATTACTGAATTGTCAATGATATTTGAAAGATTATGGCAAACAGCTAAGGTATCACAGGGCTAGAGAAAGGCAAATATTGTTCTTATTTTCACAAAAGAGATGAGAATTGTGTGGGGGGGGTGAGTTTGATTTCATTCCTGGGAAAATTTTTGCATATATTAAGAGGATTAGTGAACATCCAGAAAAGGAAGAAAAGGATTCATAAAAGCTGGCATGCATTCATCAAGAAAAGAAATTCATGTAACATTAATCTTATTTACTTTTTGAAAGGTTATAAACTTGGCAGCTCAAGGGGAATACTGTAGATTCAGTTTGCCAAAATTTTAGTGAAGTTGCTTGGTCAACCATCTCAAGCTATTCTTGTGGAAAAGATGAAGAAGTGTGGGTTATATGATATTACAAGTAGGACGGGTTCAGAATTGAATGGATGGACTCAAAAAAGCAGGCATTAACATTCCCATTTCACTTGGAAGGAGATCTCTAGTGAAGTTCCCCCGAGACCTCTACTAGCTTTATGCTGTTTAACACTATAACCAATGACTTAGCATCTTGATCAAACCTGCAGATAACACAAAGTCAGGATGGGTAGTCAACATACTGGATAACCTAGTCAGGATTACAAAGGATCTGAACTGGCTAGAGTACTGTGCTGAATCTATGAGGTAAATCTGTATAAGGATAAATGTAAAGTTTTATCCTTGGGCTTAAGAAATCAATTTCACAAGTATAAGATAGGGGAGGTATGGTTAGCCAGTAATTTGTCTGAGTGAACTTCAAGCTCAACAGGACTCAATAGTGAAAATGGTGGTTACAAAGCTAAAATATTCTGCATTGAGAGCCAAAGCTTCCCAAAACAAGAAGATGACACTTCAGCTGTACTATGCCTTGGCTTGAGAACATCCAGAAAATTGTGTTCTGAGCATCATGTTTTAAGAGAGGCATTGATAAGCTGAAAAGCATCCATCAGAGAACGGTAAGGAGCTTTGAGTCCCTGCCACATGAGGATCAGGTAAGTAACTGGGATGTTTAGCCTGGGGAAGAGGTATAGTGGGGGACATCACAGCTTTCTTCAAGCACCTAAAAGATCATCATATGGAAAAAGGACAAAATATGTTCTATTTGGACCCAGAAGACAGAACTAGGATTAATGGTTAAAAGTTGCAAAGAAGGAAATTTAGATTTGATGTAAGACTAAAATGCCTAACCATTAGAGATATTAAAAATAGGATGGCTTGCTTCAGGAGGCTGTAGGTTCCCTTTCAATGGAGATCTTCCAGCAAAGGTGGTATGTCTGCTTGTAAGGTGTAATGTAGTGAGGTTTTTTTTCAGGTATAGGTTGGACTAGATGGTTTCTTTTAATTCAGAAATTCTCTGAAAATCAGTTTGTTACAGAATCACAAAAATCATGAGAAGAATGAGGTTCAAAAAGGAAGGGGTGATTTATAACAATGAAATAGGTTACTTGGAACCTAAACTGTCCTTGCCCTGAGGGAACTTACAATCCATTCTGAAGAAAATATAGAAAAGATAAAGTTTACTTTGTTTATAATCAAAATATTTCACATAGAATCTATAGGTACAGAGAAAAAGTACACTTTGACAATAATGTCATCAGGATCCTCCCTGGATTTAGGTTAGGAAGGTTTTCACCTACCTGACAATTCCGTAGACGAACAGCCCATGTAGGAGTATGTGGAAGAAGTGGTTGCAGAGGGACAGGAAAAGGGTCGTCAGCTATTCTGAAAGGACAACATACGTATCAATGGCAAGGATAAAAACATTTAAAATATTTGGCATTGCTTTGCTAGAGTCAGAGTCCTAAACACTAAGACAACAGATGAAGTTTTATAAATCATTATTAAAAATACACTGTATAAAGGAATTTTACAGGTTGCCTACAGGGTTTTTTTGAGTGATCATATATAAATGACATAAAGTTACACATTTTAAGTTTGCCAATATCCTTATCTCCCTAAATATTGAGTTTGACAGAATATTCTTTTTTAATACAACCTGCAGTCATTACCAAATCAGCTATATTACATATTTGGTTCCTTCACTTAGTATTTAGTGCAAATCAGTTAATGAAACATTTTTATTTGATTTCAGGAGTATTAAGAGAATCCAATCTAATTCTTCAAATCAGTGTTATTTTGCAAGTAGGGGTAGAAACAAGTATGATTTTCTTAACCAGAAAACTGTTTGAAAAGACAAAAACAAAACAAAAGCATACAAACTATAAAAGTCATACCACAGAGCAACACGAGCAACGGCGTTTTAAGGTAAGAATCTGGTAACTTTTCTTTCTGAACGCTTATTAGCAATCAATTCTTTTTATATTTCCTCAACAGAAATTAGCCAGGTGTCAATAATGAAAAAAGAAGCATTGGGCACTTGCACCTTCTGAAACAGTCTTATTATTTCCAGCATACCTTTAAATTAAATCAAGACTTACATATTTAATAATAAATGATTTACTAAACTTTTCTATATTAGGTCATTTTAGAAAACAAATAATTTGGAAAAGATGTCCATGGTGCTAGATGAGTTCTTCTTTCCCTACTGACCTACCTAGTTGCTGTCTTTTTAGGCAAGGAGAGGGATGCTTGTGGATGAAGAATATAACTACTGGTATTGTCTGCTATAGCAGCCACTGCTACAGTCTGTAAGTGTCCATCAGTGGTATTCTCTTCTGAAATATCTTAATAACAACAACACAAAATAATCTTATTTAATAACATCAAAGGAATGTAGATAACTGTAATTTTTCTCTCTTTTGGAAAAGCAAGAATTGTGGCAAAGATAAAGGTGGCAAAACTAAAAATACTTCACTGAGAATTTTCTAAAACAATTTGCTTTAAAATTTATAATACTATCACTTTGTATTTATGCTTTAGGTTTAAATTGAGAAACCAAGATATGAACAAAGAAAAAGCAGAAATAGTTGTGGCAACTATCATTTCCCAGTATCATAATAATACTTAGAAAGTGCACATTTTTTGTATATGTCTTCATGTCTTACTTTTTGAAAGTTCCCTTCATAAAGTATATTGTGACTGCAAACCTAGATTATGAATCAGCAGTAATGACATCATAATGCCACCCTACCATAAAATATTATTAAAGTAGCAAAGAAGTAGAGCTACAATGTCACAAGAGAAGGGGATAAAGAAGTGGGAAAACATGAAGTTAGGAGGGAAGGAAAAAAATGCTTATTAATTGAAAAAAGTTTAATTAAAAACATTAGTGAAAACAAGAAATATCAATATGAAGTGACCTAAAATGGAGAGTTGAGAAAGTGCAAATGAAGTGCAGAATAAAAAGAGGAAGAGCATAAAGCCCCTTTCAGCAACTAGAGGATAAAAGAATGTAGAAAGTGCAAGGAGCAGAGAGAAAACAAGGACAGTGAGGGAAAAAAGGTATGAGTATACAAGTATCTATCCAGAAAGAAATGCAACACTCCTCCAGTAGCTGTTAGCTCTATGTCTTGTTATTAATATTACTACTGTTATTATTAAAAAGAATTTATTTTATGCTCACTGGTCCTTTGGGGAGGAAGCAGGAGTCAACCAGCTTCACAGAATTCCAAACTGAAATAGACAGCTAACCTAGACAGGGGTTGGAAAATGAACTTGAAATTTATTTGGGCCAAGCATCTTTATCTAGTTAATTAATATTCACAATCCTACCTGAAGAAATCAATTTTAACATTGACTTCACTGAGATGATTTTCTGAAATACATGACTGGTCATAAAAAACACCCTCAACTGCCCCAAACAGTATTCATGTTACTCACCCTGAGGACTGGTCACATCTAGGAGCTGCCCCTGAGGAATAATAACTTGTGCCATTCCTGTCTGAGTGGATGGAATTACGTGAAGCACCTGTCCATTTTCTGACGGACTAGTAACAATCATCTTGAAAATATGAAAGAAAAAAATCAATGTATACTCCTATACTTGTTTAATAAAATTATCTTTTTGTCAGTCACCTGCATTCTACCTATACAATATCTTTCATGTGCCCCCTTTGCATTATGCCTACTACTTACTACCTTAGTTCTGGGTGACAACAATCCTAATCTCATCTGCACTATTATAACAGCATCCAATATCTCCTCCAATCCTTCCACAGCTAGAAGTCTTCCTAAACCAAAATACCCCTCCCCTACTAAAAATCCCTGAGGGCTCCCCACTGTCTGTAGCAGAGGTCCTTAAGTTTTTTGGGTGTGTCATAGACCTGTGGCAATCTGGTGAAACATATGCACCCCTTCTTAAAAATAATCTTTTTAAAAGCATAAAATACATAGGACTGGATCATGTAAACTTATTATTTTAATATTTTGACAATTATTTAATTACATAAAAATAATTGTCAAAATATTAAAATAACAAGTTTACATAATCCAGGTTAAGAATTCTCAGTTTAAAGAATAAAACGCAAACTTCACAGCCTGATATTTGTGGTCCTCCACCATTTGCTTCTAACCTACCTTGCCAGATTTACTTCACTTTACTCCACTTCAATGTCCCAGCCAAACTGAACTAGTACCTGCTACTCCATCTCACCCTGCTCTTTCACCTCCATTCCTAGAGCACATTCCCTCCTCATTGTCTGCTTGTTTAAATTCCTCCCTCAAGGCCCAGCATGGGCCACCGCCTCCGTAAAACCATCTCTGATTTTTTGATGCAATTTAACTCTCCCTCCCATTTTTTACAGCATTTTGTCTAGACTCACGTCCTACCTTATGGCACACTTATTTGTCTAAGTCAGATACTTCACGTCAGATCTTTGAGAATAAGAACTGTCATCTTTGGCTACTTAGCATAACAGTTTGTATACAGAAGGCACCTGATGAGTTTAGCTGAATCTCTTTAACGTATTTATTATGAATGAAATTTCCTCCACTAAAATCTTAATCCATTGTCTAATTTTGGTATATGGTATTTTTTAAAGGTTATCAGAAAAATTCAAGTTTTGACAGATCCTACCAAACAGGAAAGGCTTTGAGTATAGGTATATTGATCAACCGTGTACCTATTGTCTAAAGATGAGTTTAGCAAACTTTGGAGAGGCTCCTCAACAGATTGGCCACGAATGATACATTTTTCAGCCACAGAAAGTCTTTAAGACCATTTACTAAGTTATAGTGGGGTTGCAATCTGCATTGGAAAAGGGAATATCTACACGAATGACATGGTAGATTCTTTTTTTTTTTTAGGCTAGGCAATGGGGTTAAGTGACTTGCCCAGGGTCACACAACTAGTAAGTGTTATGTGTCTGAGGCCGGATTTGAACTCAGGACCTCCTGAATCCAGGGCCGGTGCTCTATCCACTAAGCCACCTAGCTGCCCCCTGAAATGGAAGATTCTTAAAATACCTAATCATATGAAACTTAATTATTTTTAAAAATCTCAACAAATAATTTGGCCAAAGATAAAATTTTTAATGCTCCTTGAGTTATGACATACTTTTGACCTATCTGACAAGTGTGGTTATGTAGTTCCTTGTCTGACACTCTTAAAATGGCTTAACCGCTATTACCCAAGAGTCACTACTATCATATCCTTCCTTTCCCAGTAGGTCTCTTTTTTGCACCCCTGCCTCTAGGTGGCAGGAAATACCATGTAAATTGCAAATAACCCACTAGTCATTGCTCCTACTTGTTTTCCTAGACTTCCCTTTGCAAATAGCAGAACAACATGTAAACATTGCAGATACTCCACACTTTGAAAAGTTCTTCTAATATTGGTATTTCTGACTTGGAGAGGGATAGGGGAGAGGCAGCGGAAATGGAATAATACAGTTATAAATATTTCACAGACAGAATCTGGCCAATATTTTCCATATTAAGCCTAATAATTTTCTTAGGTAAACCTGGACAGCATGGCATAATGACAAAGTCCTGGATTTGGAATTAGTGGACCTGGGTTCAAGTTTGAGTTCTGTCACTGTGTGATTTTAAGCAAGCTGTCTTAATTTCTCTGAACCTCTAGTTCCTCATATATAAAATGAAGATAATACTTGTATATCATACCTCAGGATTGTCATGACAATCCAAAATATCAAGGTGAGTTATTATTATTGCTGTTGTTGTTACTACTACTACAGGTCTATTACCCTTGCTACTGTGATACAGCCAGTATGGCAAGTTTTGATGCTGTCACTTACATAAAATAAACACCGCTGGTCACTGACAAGGAACAAAGAATGGCATATCCATCTGCATCTGGAGTCAGGAAGATGTGAATTGAAACCTGATCTCAGATACTTATTAGCTGTGTGACCCTAGGCAAATCACTGCTTCAGTTTTCTCATCTGTAAAATGGAAATAATAGCACCTATCTTCCAGGGCTGTTGTGAGTACAAAATAAGCTATTTGTAAAGTGCTTTGCAAACCTGCAGACACTACCTGAATGTTAGCTAGCGTTATTATCACTTTTACTCCTTCTTAGCGATATTTTGCAAGTACCAAATAACATATATGATTTCTTCTATTTTAGACAATAAGAATGTTGAGACTTCTCCTAAATCTGATATAACAAACACTGAAAGATTATATGAGAGAGAGAGGTTATGGATAATGATTTAAGAGCCTGATCTTCCCCATGCTAGGAAGCACTGCCGAAATAGAAAAAAGTTCCCTCTGCATTTATTCCCTTTACTTTTACTTACTACCTGTCTGTCTAACCTTAGAAAAGTAATTTGATCTCTCTGAGCATTCTTTTCTTCATCTGTAAAATGAGGTTGCCTACATGCTTTCTAAGTTTTCTTCTGGATCTAAATCTATGACACTATGACATTTCACTCTAAATCTTATGACCCTAAGCAACAGAACCTATGCCATAAACTCAGTAGGAATACAATAAATACTTTTTGACTACAGTGATACAGTTCTACACATTTAGCTGGCTAGCATAACTATTTTACTATGAAAGTCAATACAATTCTTGCCCTTGTTATTTAGAGACAATGTGATGTATTGTGGGATGAGTACCGGATTTCAAATCAGAGGAAGGACCACTGCCGCTTACTACCTGTGTTTGGAGTTTTTGGAGGAAGCTTAATGATTAGCCCATGACATTTGGGATGGTTGGCCTTAGCTTTTTGCTTTTCATTATCCTCTGGCTCCACCCCCCTGCCCCCACTTTTTCTTCAAAAAGCTACATAGAAGGCAAAGTATTCCTTGTGTTACAAGTTCAAGTTGCCCAACTCTTTGGCCCAGTAATTCTGGGCAATTTGCTCACCTTCCCTGGGCCCGTAAAATGATGGGGCTGGACTAGATGACAGGTCTCTGCCAGTTCTAAATCTATGATCCTATGCATCATTCTACTTGGGACAAACCAAGGAAATAAACCGTGGGTTAATTGGTAGTCTTCATTTTAGTGGTCTTGTCCTATTCCAATCTGTGGCCTTATTGATGCATGTATTTCCTTAAGCAATGAAGAGCACAACCTATCCACGCCTCCTCACTCTCATATAGGTTTTCCATAGGGGAAAAGTGCTTACTCAAAGTGCTGGGGGCTTTCCTTATATTATCTTTCAATCAAACATGACCTGTCAATTATCCCTCACTTTTATTACATGACTGGTTCATCTTTTTTGAAAACACATTTCTTTGGTGACATCCCTTATATAATTCTTCCCAATTCCTTGTTCATAATATGTTACCACCTACCTATTCGTGCCTTCCACGTGCCTCTCTATTGCTGGGGGGAGCCTCAATCTCACTTCTTTAGAGACTGTAATATTTTTTGACTCACAGTCCCATATCACTGCTGGGAGAACAGTGATCTTAACAAAATGGGTCTCTGCTTTCAGGAGAAGCTTTTGGTCACTGAAATGATTTTGCAATTTCCCAAAGACAATTCATTCCTCTCTCTTCCTCCTATTCAATTCTCAGCTCAGCTCAGGGTCCACTTTCAGTCTCTCCAAGACCTACCAACATACATATTATACACACTCACACACATATACACACACACAAAGATGAATTCTGAATTGTCCATCCAACTGCATAGTTTGACCACTGGGCATTTTTTATCCACTTAGTTTTTCTGGTGTGTATCATTAATTCAAATTCATCTGAGTGATTATGGATCTCATTTAGCAGCTCTAAAATATTCCAAGGCTCAGTGCAATCAGCACAACTGTCATACACAAAAATGATTAATCATCAGAATCTCACTACTTATGGAGAAAATTTGATTTCAACTATGTACATTAAATCACCTCTAGAGTGGTGGTGATTCTCTGGCAAGCACATATCTCAATGTTTTGTGAATCATGTGATATCAGTACTCAAAGGCTCAAAAGGGTTACCTATAATATCTTTTAAGGATTCTTATAATTTTGACAAATGCAAGGAAGATATCATGTTGTAAGAGAGCTTTTAAGGTAGATCTATAGAATTAAATGCCTTTGTGTAGCCAAGAAATCATAAGGACAGTAGGACCATGTATTTTTTTTTCTTTCACTGAGATGGTGTATTTCTACATGTTTCATTCAATGATAAAGATGTGGTCTTCTGGAATATCACTTGTAAAAGCCTTCTTGTTCCCTTCCAAAGCCCTCATCAAGGAGGCCATTGATGTTTATGCATATTATTCTCATAAAAATTTTATATGGGTGAATAGGGAAGCATCTGGGTCAATAATGTTCTCATGGTGCCTTTGGGGTGGGGAGGCAATAAAGTTGGATTTTTCCCCATGCTTTTTATATCTTCTTCTTCAAGTGACTTGTGAAACAATCCTGTAATGCCTTCAATATTCTGTCACCTTCAGTGTTGACTTCCTCTGTGCACATCTCCTTTCTTTAATGCTATTTCAACTCCAGTGGGACTGCGATGTTAAACAATCAAATTAAATTACTGTCTGATGGCAAAAGGAGTTTGCTATTAAAAATCTTTACATATCTTTTCAACCTTCCATTTGTAATACTCTCCTTCCAATTACATTCTTAAATGACTTCACAATAGCTTTGTTTGGTTGACTATTTTGCCATGTTTTTTTTTTCTACTGCTTCTGTTTTGATGAGGCAATACTGTTTATAATCTCCAACCCATCCTCTGTAGAATTTTCTAAATAAGTTTATATTATAAACAAGTGTTTGCCTTAGCTAACTCTGCTTGATCAGTAGATCAAGTGTTTGCTGACTAAGGCAGTTTTTAGGTTGCCTCCCTGCTTCAGTAGCTATTTTATATGTTAAATTTCTGTATAAAATTGTTACAATAAGTGTAGATGTCCTTCCTTCTATTGATCTCTTTTTCTTTTTTTTTGGTGTTAAAAAGTCACTATTTCCCTTGTCTTCCATTCTTCTTGAGAGTATTGGTGACATATAGACATTATAGTTCTGTGTAGCCTCTAAGTCTTTGGCCTCTCATCCTTCCTCCTGAACCATATTTTCCAATGATTTTTTCACAACATCATCTATTCCAACCTTTATACTTACATCACTGAGTGTAATGTAAACATATGATTATTTAATTTCTTTGTAAAATTTAAGTTCTTTGTAAAATTTCTCTACCTATTCATTCTTTGCAACAGATATTGGTGCAAAAGCTGCAATTTTCATGGTGGTCTTTCTGAAAATACTTATCATGAGTCCTATAATTTGAAATGACACAGTCCATGAAATGTTTCTTATTGCCTTCGGGCACAAGATAAAAGCTTTGTCAACTTGTTTATATTATGTGCCTCTTTAAGAAGAATCTATAAGCCATCTTTTTATTTAATTACAATTTCCTTCTCTCCTCTTGTTTGGTTTAAAGTGAGAATGTTGACCATTATGGTAATTCAGTACTTCCAGTAACATACATACTTATTTGTTGGTTATTAGAAAAGGATTTTACATTTAGAGTACAAGCATCTAAGTTAATATTTATGAGCTAAGAATTATGATTTTTTAGCATCTTCTTTTCCCTTTTCCACCACTTTGCCACTGCAGAATTGGAAAAGGAGTCAGTATGTTCTGAGAAATCAGAACGACTGAGAAACCTTTGTTTCTTGGTTTCCTGTGGTCAAGGAGTTCATTACCAAGTGGCCAATCTACTGACAACAAGCCTCTCTATACTTAGCTTCCTTGGAAAACTGATCTAGTCTGTTGCCAGGTTTACATTCCAAGTCTGTCTACCATGATAGAACCTGCCAAAGCTTGCACTCTGCTGGGGTAGCCTTTGTGAACTATGCTCCACATCATGTGGCTTATCTCTACACCATGATGGCACTGTTATGTCAAGTCTAGTTATCACAGACCTATGCTAAACCTTTCCCTATCACTTATTCACCCATATCAAAATCTTCCAATAATTCCCAGTAGGCTTACACACATACACACACACACACACAACTATATGAATATATGTATATGTATATATACACACATACATACATACACACACATATAAATTATATATTCCTTTTAAAGTTTTTCACTTTTTACTCTCATAAGCATTGCCTCTAAACTTTAATAATCTGAAGAATTATGGTTATAGAGCTAGAGGGAATGAAAGAGAAGGTCTAGTCCAACCTCAGGCTTAGAGAAGTTAAGTTACTTGCCCAAATTTGTACAGGTAGTAAAGAAAGGCAGGAGTCAACACCAAGTCCTCTGACTCTGAAATCAGAACTCTTAAGAAAATATACTGTTGTTCATTTTATTCTTTCTCCTACTTATTTCCAACCTTTCTTCCATATTCTTCACATTCCACATGAAACAATTCTTTAAGCCACTGGATCATAAGCTCTATTAAAGAGGGACTGTGTTTTCTTCAATTTTCTAGCTTTCTCAGCACTTGCTACAATATAATGCACACCGAAGGCACCTAAGAAATGTTTGTGGAATTAATAAAGTCCTTCCTTCATGTTTATCAGCCCATCATCTTATTAGCTGCCACCTACAATTCATGTCTAAACCCATTTGCTATAGGAATTCTAATAGCAATTATTGAGTTGGGAGGGATAACTGCTTATTCCAAGGAAAACTAACGAAGAGTGCTCCTTTCAACGATAGTCTATCACTATTATTTTTAATTTTGCAGTTGATGAAACTTGCCTTACTAACAGAAATAGGTTCTGGTACAACCTATCTTTCAACAAGTATCAATTGATAAAAAGTGTAACATAATGCAATATTTACTAACAGAACTCCATGAGCAAGTAACTCCCCGACCCTACCCGGGTTCATTTCATCATCTATAAAACAAGGGTGGGGGCTAAATGATCTCCAAGGTCCATCTGAGCTTTAAATCCTATGGTCCTAAAAAAATGAAATTTAATGGGAGAATATATTTAATATTAGCTCCATGTTGTCATTTATTGGTAATTAGTATTTAACCTCATCTCTACTATCTTTTATTGGAAAGGTTAAGATCTGAAAGGCAAGGTTGTTTACCTTACAATTTATTACATTTTGTGAAACATCATGAGTACTGGATTGTTTTCAGATATACTCACCATCTGTGTATTATAATCCCCTACTGACTGAAGCTCATACTGAATAGGATGCCCATTTTGGTCTACTAGATGGAACTGCTCTGTGGAAAGAGACTGTGGCTGTGACAGCTGGACTGGTACATGCTGTGATGGGGGTGAATTATCTGCTACACCAACTGTGATGGGCAAAACTGCAGAAGAATCATTTTGTCCAAAGGAAGGCTCCCTGGAATCCATGCAGGTTAGATGCTTTTGTATAGGAAAAACAAAATACCACTTCAATCCTGAAATACACGGTTTCACAAAAATCCCCATACCAACCCAATAACAAAAAAATCAATTTCAAACACATTGTATTTTATTATGCAATTGTCACTTTATCCAGATAAATAACTCTTTCTCAAAAGGTACATTAAGGTAATGATTTTGATATGTTGTACTGTGAATGGCAAGTGCCTTAGTCTACAAGAAAGGAGATACAGGTATAGTTGTGAGTTTAATATATTGTAATCCCATTCATCAGATAACATAACTACTTCATTTAATAAATTTGCTAACTTCTGCCTCAGTAATTTTACATATTTTCTATTCAGTTAAGAACATGCTCATTTTTAAAGATATCTGCTTCCCCAAAGTGCTAAAAAAGAGTATGAGTGAACAGAGAGCTACATGTCATACTCCTACAGAATTTTCTGTCCTACACACTCTCTCCAGTTAAACTATCATTTTTATTGTTCCTTTACACAGATCAAGTACTGCAAGAAACATAAAAATAACCCTAGCTAGCTTACATTCAGTTTACAAAAATTTGATCAAAAGATTGTCACTATTTCTCCATGCAATTTAAAAACTTTAATGCGTAATTTTATGTAATTTTCATTTTTATTGATCATAATTTAGAGCTATAAGGGACCTTAAGTTTCATCCAGTCCAGGCCTCTTACTTTTACATGTGGGAAACTGATCACGAGTAACCAAGCAGCAGATATAGGATTCCAACCCAGGGCCTGTGACTCCAAATCAAGCATTTTGTTCACTGCCTCCCTTAATATCATCTCTCTAACTCTAATAATTACATTCAACAAGTTTTCCAGGAAATACGTTATGAAGGTATATAACATTTTTATGCTATTATTGCTGAATAAATGAAATATAACTTATTTCTTAGGCAAGTAAAGACACTAAATATATAGCAGGGTATTTTCCCCTCAGCATGAAGAAAGTGATTTTTCAGTCTAACTCCCACCTGAAACACCTGAGCATCTCTTTCTGACTCTTCGGTGTTATTACAGTTGACTACTAATAAATTATGAGATTGTTCCATCTTGGCATCATGGCCAGTTCCATTTTCTTCCATTAAAAGAGAGCTGGAAGAGTCCAAATCAAAGTAAATTAAAGTACTTTAAATGACTTTTCAAAAAATACTTAACCTCCCCATTCCCACAACTCTAAATTAGTAACACTTTCCATTTGACAAGAAATTTAAGATTTGATTGAATAATTTGTCCACACCAACTGAATACTCAAGGGCAAATGTTAGTACTATGTAATTCCTACATCCTTAGGTCACAATTATTCTGGCTTTCAAGGATGCTAAGGAAAGAAATTTACAATATATTATTTTTTTCAAACCATTTTTTTTCCTTTTCTCATTTTTACAGATTGTTGAGTCTAGAATAAAGAAAGTGGCTTTACTTTGCATTTAGGCAAGGCCTAACCTTAACATTTCATTAATATAAATTGTAAATAGTTTACCATATGGAATAGAGCATCATCACAGAACTCATACCATCAATTAAAAACATACAGAAAGAAGCCAATAAAAGACAAATAATTGCTATCAGGACAATCAACTTGTGACTAAGTGATCTTATGTGCTAATGTGACACCTGGTACTCCAGACCTTAAAGAATAAATTTCATGTCTTTAAATTTGGACTATATCAAACAGCAACTGGTAGAAGTCCATTCTTAAAACAACTGCCCAAATGTTTCTTCAGATAAGAAGTCTTTAAAAATAGCAGTCAAATAGCAACTCTTTGCCCTTTGCCAAGAAAACATACCCCAAAACAAAAATATCTAAGATGTTACATGGAAAATTAAGACAATGCTGTTTTCAGCATGTATATGTAAACTTTTAATTTTATTAGGTAAATTAAAGCCCTAAGACTAGAAATTATGTACCTTGTAAAATGCTTAGGTTTACATTTACCTTTTCCATAAATATCTCCTTTGAAACACAACACAAGGTTTTATTATACATCGCAGAAGATGCATAATTTTTGTTCAATTAATAGAAATCTATCAAATACTGCATAAAGAAGAATTTATGATGGTACCTATTTTTATTTCCCTCAATCTTAAATTTTACAGTCAGTCAGCATATCCTAAATCCTACATATTTCATAAACAAAAAAAATACAAAAGCACTGGGTTAAAAAAATTTCTGAGAGATATCCATAAAATTATTTACACAGAGCTCCATACAGGTGCTTATTTTTTTTTAAGTCTTGCAAAACTGATAGAACTAAAGTGTCCCTTGGAGCTCACTAAAAAACAGAAGTAAGATGAAAGAGAAAGGAGACTCCAACATGATGAATTTCCAAGGGGAAATCAACTTTGATGGAAGAGAACCATTAATTCTGCTTGCTTAAATTCATATCAACATGGAGAACTACATTTGGAATAATCAAGTTTCACTGTGAAAAGATTAACTAAAAATGTAAAACTTGTAGTTAAGCTATTTGCTAAAATAAAACCATTATCATCATAAATTCAGCAATTTTAAAACAAATTTCATTCTCAAGAAAAAAGACATATTGGAAATTTTCATATAAAAATACATGAGGTCAAGACAAAGAACTATTACTTCAAACATTTTATTTTGATTTTCAAAAAATATGTGCGCTATGAGATATGAACTAAGATTTTATATTTTATTGGTATAGTAACATGAATTGTAAAAGTTCATTACACAAAGAGAATATTATTTTTTCCCTTCATCTACAATAACCAGAATCTTCCCCAAAAAGAATAGAATGATCTTTCCTGGAAAAATTCCTATACAGACCATAATAATCTAATAAATGACATCATTACATGACACAATTCTATCAGATTTCATTTAAACAATATTATCTAAATATTTTTGTTAGAGTATAATTTTGAAATTCCTTTTCCTTCTCCTCAAAGATAATTAGATAAAAAAATCCAAAAACCTTGATCCAAAAAAGTTTCAAAAGATAGAAGAAAAGGAATTTTTACAAACATTGCTGTTTTTTCACTACTTAAAACCAGACTTCTTTAGCTATCTAAACAAGTAATTTTATAAAGTTTTCTTTCAACTGCAATATTTAGGAATAAAGGTTAGTATTGATCAATAGAAACATTAAGACTGGTCAAAGTGGTCTTCCTTAGGTAGGCAGAAATACAAATATTCTTTGGGGGGAGAAAAGGAAATTCACTTTTAAGCAAGTAAACTGGAGGCTTTGCTGGTTCTTTAAGTCTTAGGACTTTTTCACACTGGGAAATTTTTGTATGGCTAGTTTTTATAAATTCCACAGGTTCCCTTTCTCAACACAGTGCTGCTAATCTAGTGACTGGAAGAATACTTTACAGTTTTTGGAGAACTGGTATGTTTAGGAGGGAAAACCTCTTTCAAAAGCAGTTGCAGCTTAGAGCAGCTGCTGGAAGGGCAGACTCTCAAGGTAAGCATATCTAGGTTACTAGTTGTGCTTCTCCCTACCCCGCCAGAACTTTTTTATTATTCATTCATAGATTTATGTCAACAACCATACTTTTAAAATTCAGTCCTGGTAAGGTTAAAAGTGGTCATCAATCATTCATACTTTGATAAAACTAATCTTTCCTATATATCTAACTGGTATTAGCTATACTGTAGGAACAGAAACTGAAAGCGGTCTTAGAAAAAGACACTGTACCCAGGAGCCTCAGGCAGTCTTAGGAAGCAATGGGTCTTCCAAGCAAAGACTGGAAAACCACCTATCATTTGAGATATTCTTGCTCAAGCTGGATTACATGGGCTCTTTCAGATGAGATCCTACGTCTACAGAGGACATTAGGGTAGAGAAGGGTTCAAAAAAAGAAGTGGAAAGATTCCATATGCAAATTTCACTTATTTAAAAATTCTAGGCCTCTGGCACTAGAAATAAGAAGGAAAAACCTCTTCTTTGTTCTCTCTGCTTTTATACCATACAACATTTAAGATGCAGATCTCAAGCCAGCATCATAAGTACTATAGTGAAGCTACATTATGGGTTGTTGCTTTTATGATCAGGATAGGCAAACTAATTAGTACTTATTATTACTACGGGCAAATGCATTTCAAAGTTCAAACAGCCTTGAAAATTAAGTTTTGAAATACAGCTGATCACTGCAGTAGAAAGAGTAATGAACTTAAGACTTGATCAAGAACATTTTGGGAAGAGCAGCATACCTGAAAAAGATCTGCAGCTTTTGGACTTCAAGATAACGAATCAACCACATGATTTGACAGTCAAAAAAAAAAAAGCTAATATAATCTTAGACTGCATTAAGCGGATGTCTAGCTTTAGATACAAGGTGGAGGTCCCACTGTATGGTGCTCTGGTCAGATTGATCATAGCAGTCTCTTCTCAATACTATATTTTAGGAAGTATCCAGAAGATGGCAACTAGGATGGTGAAGCATCTTGAATTCACACCATATGAACAGTCACATGGCAATTAAGTGGGATTCAAGAAAATGGTTCAAGGAACTGGGGCTGTTCAGACTGGAGAAGTGTCAGGGGAGATATTAGTAGCCTTCAAGTATCTGAAATGCTGCTACATGGAAGAAGGGGTGGAGAACCTGTGGCCTTCTAGGTCCTTGGGTGTGGACTTTTGACTGAGTCCAAGTTTTAAGAACAAATCCTCTTATTAAGTCTGGTTTCAAAGGGTTGCACTTGAGGACCTAAAGGGCCACATGTGGCCTACAGGAAGCAGGTTCCTCATCCCTGTATTAGACATTTTGTTTGGCCACACAGGGTATAATTTGGACCAACAATAGTAACCAGAGAAGCAAATTACGAATTGCTACAAAACCAAACTTCCCCAACAACTATTCAAAGTGGAATAGGTGGTCCTAGGATATAGGATATTACTCCTTATAGAAAGTCTGACAATAAAGGTTGGATAGTCACTTGTCAGGTATTGGTTATATTAGATGTCTTCTGAGTTTCCTTCCAACTCTGAAATTCTCAGATGCTCAGTGATTCTCAATCCATCCCAACTCTCAGTATGTAATTAGCTCTGTGATCTTGGGGAAATACCTTAACTTCTCAGTCTGTTTTCTCACCTTTAAAATGATAAAACTTTCACCTACCTATTGGAGTTGCTATAAACAAAACACTTTGTAAATTGTAAGAGGATACAGAATGGTGAGGGCAGCTAGGCAGTGCCGTAGACAAGAGCATTGGGCCCGGAATCAAGAAAATCTGAGTTCAAATCTGGCCTCAGATTCTTACTAGCTGTGTAACCCTGGACAAGTCACTTAACCTTGTTGCCTCAGTTTCCTTTCATCTCTAAGATGAGCTGGAGAAGGAAATGGCAAAGCACCCTGGTATCTTTGCCAAGAAAATCTCAAAAATGGGGTCATAAAGAGTCAAATACAACTGAACAATAACAACAACAGAAATGTGAGATATTACAATTCTTCTGGATAATACTAACAAAAACTGACATTTATACAGTGCTTTGGTTTGCAAAGGGTTTTCTTCTTCTTTTTTTTTTTTAGGCAATTGGGTTAAGTGACTTGCCCAGGGTCACACAGGTAGTATGTGTCAAGTATTTGGTTTGAGGCCGCATTTGAACTCAGGTCCTCCTGACTTCCTGGCCAGTGCTCTGTCTTGAAGAGTCTTCTTACAGGACTTCATTTGAGTCTCACAACATCTCTGTGAGATTCATACCACTCTCCTATTTTACAGATGAAGATACAAGTTCAGAGGAAGAGATTATCCTTCTTATTGTATAGATGAACAAATGTGGGCTTAGAAATGATTTTCCCCAGGTCACACAAATAGCAAACAGAAGAAACAGGACTTGAACCTAAGTTCTCTGACTCCAAGTGTTTTTTTTTCATTATGCCACAATGTCTCCCAGAGGTCACAAGCTAGTATGTACTGGAAGTGAGATTCAAATGCAGCTCTTACTGACCTCAATGTCAACATTCTTTCTATAATTCCATGTAAGCTGAGGAGTGCCTGAATGACAGAATGACAGAAAAAGAGTCCCTCACACAATACCTTCCAGATAATTTTGCATGCATAATAAATAAACTTTCCTTTCTTCTTCTTAATACAATTCTGCATTTTTTTTAAACTGGATCTGTGATTTCACTGGGCTAGGAAGTTCCTGATGAGGAAATTATTGCATTACTAACTTTAATTGATATGTCACTTCTGGGTAATCTTAAATACCTCATTTTGTCATGCCAAGTTATTTAAATATTATAAAATGTTACTTACCACACACAATAGTTCCATGTCAAGGCATAGTTACTTAAGGACCAGCATGTTAGGTATCATGTCCATCCATAAATGAAATCTTCTTCCCCAGCTGGTTACCATAAACAGAACAATATTCTAAGACAAAGCACAGTTTTGACTTTTTAAGCATGTGAAATGGTAAAAACTATTATTCATGGGCTGCATTATTATCTATTATTACATTTCCAAAATGTAAATACAAAAATTATCTCCATGCAGTGACTAAGTTAAATTGTAGACCATTAAGCAGCCACAAATGTACTTGTCAAGAACTGTGGGAAAGCTTACGTACAAGAAACCTGAGTACTAAAGCTCAATAGGGGCTACACCTACATTTATGCCATGATTATATTTATGCCTTTGGAAAAAACCTCTGCACAACAAAATAGGCAATTCAAAATGCTTTTTTCTTCCAGGACAAAAATGGTAGAAAACAACAAAATACATTTCTATGAGTTTTTAACAGACTAGCCTAACACTAGCAGATAAAACTTCCAGAGGACATGACTTTACTCATTTTAAAAATCTGGTAAGAGCTTAGCTTTTAGGAACACAACAAAACCAGGAATATATAAAAGGTGAAAATAACTCAAAATGATTTTGTTAGTCTCCACAGTGGAAGGAAGTGAGACAGGATGAGAACAGACCCTAGTAATTATAACATCTTTCTAGCACATTTCTAAAAAGTATTTTTTAAGAAACTCCATGCAACAACCCTGTTAAATAACTCTAGTCAGAAGCAGGCAGACTATAGCCTTGAATGATCTGTTCAAAATTACCTCAAGAACCAGTGACATACAAAAACAAAATCCGTAACGCCTATATCCCAGATAATAAGCTCATGAATTTAGAATATTTTAGGGGAAGGGTTTATTTTCTTCCCTTGTTAAAAATATGAGACACGGAAAGTTGCAAAAATAGTTTCTAAATAGCCTGAAATTGCACAATAGTATCAGAATACTACTAACCAGGTAAGAATAAATTCTTTTCCTCAAAATTTAATCACATCTAAATTTTGATCACCAAGTATTGGTCTGCCCAAGGTACACCCTCTCCCTTGTTGCCTTGCAATCCTAATTTTCCATTCTATCCTTTCCCTATGAGTATGCATATACACATAGTTCTATGCTCTCATATCGTTTAGCGCAGAGGACATAGGGGAAATGGGTTACCAAATTAGCAAGAAACAACAAGTTAGATACTTTCTAAGGTTCCTTCCAACACTAATAAGTTATAATAAACTATGCAACCTATATTATAATCCTTTTAATCACCTTAAACCACCTGACCCTCTGCAATCTCCTAAATGAGTACTATTAGTATAAGTTACTAGGATATGAAACATCCTATTTTGATGCATTGCGTTAGCTCCCATTTTAAACAAATCAATTAAAAAAACGGATGGGATGTTCAATGTCTTTAACGCACAAGCACTACAATAAACGAATGGTTTTCATGCTTGGTAATGTTTACAAAGAAAGAATACAATGTATGATGTAATCAGTTGTGCCTGTCTGTCTCAACTTGACAGCATATGATGCATATTTCATGTTTAAGGATACTGAACAATATCAATACTAATTTTCTTCTCTAAGCAACAATTACACTCAGCTGAACTTTAAACAAAGGTCAATCCAGCAACTGAGGAGCAGTTTCCTGTAAAGGACATAAGGATGGATAGGGAATCAGAAACACCAGTGTTCAAGTCACATCTCTAACACACAGTAACTGCAAAACCACAAGCAAGTTACTTAAACTTTCAGTGCCCCAGGCAACTCTCTCAGACTTATTAAATTACACAGGAATTGCCAGTCTTCAATTGTGTGGAAACAGTTTCCATGCAAATGAAGTTAAAGGTCTGGAATGTCCCCAAACATAACAACTGGAAAAGCATTTTTGTTACTGGTTAGTAAAAAATATATTACATAGATTCATTTTCACTTCATAGAATCCTATAAGCAGAAACTTCAGAGGTAATCTAGTTCAATCCCTAGTATATGAATCTTCTCTACAATAACCCTGAATACTTATCCAGCTGTTCCTTCCTGGATCTCCAGTGAAAGGCAGTATATACTATTTCCTAAACAGCATAGTTCATTCTTGGACAACCATTATAAAATTACATTCAGCAGAAATCTGCCCCTCTGCAACTTCAATGCATTGATATTAGTTCAGTCTGTCCTTTTGGGCCAAGCTAATTTTAAGCTGAATATCTCTTACACCCAACAGCACTTCAATACCCATAGACTGCAACTGTTTACATCCTCTTTTCTTCCCCAGCCCAAATGTCCTTGACTCCTTCAGCTCATTTTCATCTGGCATGATTCTGACCCTCAATATCTTGGGTTGTCTTCCTCTAGAACCACTTCTAGCTTCATGCCCACAATCTTCCAGATGCTATGTACGTTACCTCATTAGCTACTTTGACCACCATGCCACATTGCTGACTCACACTTCATAATCATTTTGCAGACTGCCAAAACCACCTGGCTGTTCTCACATGAATATGTGAAATACGTACTTGCACAATTAAAAAAAAAAACAATTGCAAGATTTTACATTCATTCTTATGAAGTTTCATCTCATCAGACATGGACCACCATTCCAGCTTGTTTGTGGTACTTTTAGGTTCTAATTCTTGTCTTCATCTAAAATATTTCTATCACATATAGTTTGATTTCTTTAAAAACAGCTATTTGGAAAATTAACAACTAAGAATACACACCCTGATCTTATGTTATTTACCGATCATATTTAAGATGTTCTAATTTTAAAAACCTATCTTCACATTAATTGAAATATTAGACATTTTTTCACCCCAGTTAATTGCAAACCAAGAATAAGACCTAATTTATCTAATGTCTATTTATTAGGGGGAAAAAACCTACACATTTCAAAGTAAAAGCTATGTTTCATTAAATGCCCAATTTTCCTTTATTTAAAAAATTATTTTAAAATCAGAATTTAGGTGCTTTCCAGTCTTACTGAAGCAATTCAAAATAGGAAAAGTTACAAGGATACTGTACAAATCATAAAGTATAATCAGACTTAAGTTATTTTAATAAATAAACAGACTTAAATTATTTCCAATAGTGAAGTGTTGTTTCCTTTTTTACTTTACTGGTATATAACATGGTACAAAAGAATTTTTAAGTTAAGTGCCTTCACCCTCAAGAGCCCTTAGCATGGTAATTAAAAATCCTGTTAAATGGATTCCCAGAACTTCTAAAAGTATATATTAGATGATATTAATTAATTTCAAGGTTTCTTCTCTCTACCCAATACTGTATCTCTCAACTTGAGTGATCTCAAACCAAACAATAGCTGAAGTTGTGCATGAAAATCATGGTTAAGTCTATATGCTATTAGCAACATCTTTCTTTCTCCACTGCCCCATTACCTACTTTTCCATTCCCCCTGTTTCTTCTTCCTGGCAATATCTTAACTATTGCATAACCTGAAACATGTCGGGGGAATGACAGCAGAATGAGCAATTCTGTCCTCTGCACTCCTTTCTACTCTTAAGCACAGAGAACTCTTCTCTAAGAACTGCCTAGAACAGCGTTTTCCAAACTAATTTGGCCATGGAACACTTTTCGATTTGAAAATTTGCAAAGCTAGCCATAAATGTTATTAGCCCTGAGAGTCTGGAGGTGTAGTGTATACGCCTGGGACAAAGAGAATTTAGCAGAAAGAGCAAAACAGAGGGACTATTACTTCCACATCAAAAGAAGACACAAATGTCTTCTTCTGACATACATCATTTCATACTTCGTCTCAGAGAAGTGCGGTGAACATTTTCTTACTCTCATTCGCCTGGGCTGGGGAAGTCTGTGAAATGCTGACCCCTTTCCAGTTTTCTACAGCTAACACCTCTGCGCATCCACTGAACACAACTTGGGCACTGTAAGAATTAGACGTGGCGGCCCTTCCGCTACAGCAGCAGCTTAACAACCCCCAGGCCGACCTCCCCTCCCTTCCAAGGACACACACAGGGGGGCTTCTCATAACTATCGCATCTCACGGCAGGGGGCCGGGAAGACAGTGGTCTCTGAATTCCCCCTCCCCTTCCCCCGCCCCCCGAGCACAGACAGCCCTTACAGACACCCAGGGCATCCTTCGGGCGGGTGGCTTTTGTGTCCCTGGCTCTTGAAAACGCCGCCCCGAGGCGTGTGCTTAGGGGGAGGGGGAAGGGGGTCGCCGGTCCTTGCACTTTCCTCAAACTATCTCCGTTTCTCGTGACAAAGAGAGAGGGGAGCGGAGCTGGGAGCTCGGGCCCCGGGAGAGCAAGGCCGACGAGCATCCTCCGGGACTCTGCACCCAGCCGCGCCGGGGCGGCTTTTCCTTCAGCCGGGCTACCTAACCTCCGCCAGCCGGTGCCCGCAGGGTCAGGGGTGGATTCCCGGGGAAAGGGTCTGGAGAACCGCCGGGCTCCACCATGTTGTACCCCCAGACGCCGCATCGAGGGAAAAAAGGACGAGCCGCGGGCTCGGGGCCCGGAACGAGGGGGCGGATCCCGGAGCCTCCACAGAGCCCGGCGGGGGGTCGGGGTGGGTGACGGGGAAAGGGCAGGGGAAAAGGGGAGGCGACAAAGGCCGCCTTTCCGGGCGCGAACGTCCCCGCCGCCCCCCGGCTCCCTCAGCGCTGTGGCCGCCGGGAGCCCTGCAGGGCAACCAGGGAAGTCCGCGAAGCGCCGGAGCCGAGAGGGAGAAAATTCAAAACGAGTTTACTCAACCTCGTCTTGGCTCCGCGGCACCGCCATGGAGACCAGCGCCCTGCGCAGGCGCGGCCCGCCCCGCCCTGTACCCAGATGCCGGCTCCACTGTGCTCCTGAGTAGGGTGGCCCTCCTTGGCCACCGTCATGAGATTTACTTCGGGATCTGCCTTGACTTCTCTCAATTTGGGTTTGTGAAGAGGAAGCTGTAGCCCAGAAAAAGTCAAGTCCCGTTCCCCTCACCTCATCCTGCCCCTCCGCAGTGACTCCCAGGCTGGAAGTGTGACTGAGAAGGGGGAAGCCTAATAAGCCTAATAAAACATTTACTGATCTTACTCCATATACAGGGCCAATACGAACTACAACTCCCAAGTGTGCATTGCGGCGAGTCTATGAGAAATTGGAGGAGCTTCCTTGTGGGAGTTGTAGTATCTACGATCCCTGACTGAGTTCATCTTCGAATGCTTCCCCGAAGATTTAAAATATATATACATATTTTTCAAAGACAGTTAAGTTGAGGGACCTAATATCTCTGTCTGATACGTCAAGCCTGGAGCTAATGGAAGAAACCAGCTAATAAAAAAAAAAGTTGACAGCGTGGGGACTAGATGCGGGCGCCTTTTAAGAAGAGACCTAACTAGTAGATCGTGGCCTGGTGGGTGGGATCGTCAGTCGAACTCTCTGGCCTGGGCCTGGGAACATCCCCGGTAGCGCCGGGCTGCAGCCACGTGGTTGGTTCCAGTCCCGGCTTCTGGCTGCCGCTGCTGGGGCGCTCGGAGGTGGTGAGCGGACTCTCTTTCTCCCCGCCTCCCCTGCCGGCCCGGGAAGTTTAGAAGAGGGCCGGGGTCGATACCGCACAGACCCAGCTCCTGCCCCCCACACGGCAGCAGCGCCCACCACCCCTCGTCGTTCGTTACCGCGGGTCGGGTCGTCCTCCCCCCCACCCCCAGCCATGGCGCAGCTCCAGACTCGCTTTTTCACCGACAACAAGAAGTAAGTATCGAGCCACCCCACTTTCTCCTCTGCCGGCGCCCCCCGCCCCACTGAAGGAGTTCGGAGTGAAGGCTAGAGGAGGGGGTGCCTGTCTCGGGTTGTTAAACTTGCTTTAACTTTTTATTTGGGGGAGCGGGGTGACGAGTTTTCCGCGTCCCTATTCTCTAGAAAAGCGCTTAGAGAGTAAAGTTCGGAGGAGGGGGCGGTGACCCGCTTCGCCGCCCCCCGGGGTGGGTCTGGTGCTGGTTGTGAGCTTCCAGCAGGAAACTCCTAAGAGGCTGGGGCGGCTGATCCCGCCTCGGGGGTGCACGAGAAGGCACCGAACCCACCCCCGGACGGGAGCTTTCGGTGGCATCCCCCCTCGTGACTTGGCATCAGTCATTTTCTCTCCCCCCCACCCCCCCCGCTCTGTACATTTGGAAGATGAATGTCACTTTTGGGCAGTTGTGATTGTTGAGAAGTTTCTCCCGTCAAGCCACAATCCACCCTCTTGTAACTTCCACCCTTGTCCCTAGTCACCCCGCGGCCATCGAGCAAGACCCTCCGGAGACAAGTCTTCTGTTCAAAACTGAAGTGTTCCCAGTTCCTTTAAGCTGTTTTTAGCCCCGGTTAATTACTTGCTCCCCTACCCTTCCATATACAGTGCGATTCTCGTCTAGATATTTCACCAACGTGCCTACTATGTGCAAGGCTTTTTAGAAGGTGCTGGGAATACAGGGCCAAAAATGAAACTGCCCCGCTCTAGTTCAGGGGGACTTCATCATCCCTTGCCTGGACTGTTGCAAAATAGCCTGCTGGTGGGTCTCCCAGCCTCAGCTCTCTCCTAGTCCATCCTCCATTCAGCCACTTAAAATAATTTTCCGGAAACACTGGATCTGCCTTGTCACCCCTTAATCAATAAACTGTGGTGCCTTCTTATTGCCTCCAGGATCAAATAGGAAATGCTCCGTTTGGCATTCAAAGCCCTTCATAACCTAGCCCCTTCCTGCTTTTCCATTATCTTCCCCTCTACTGGAGGAGGCAGGGAGGCAGGGATGGGGGGAGGTGGGGAGTGGAAAGAGGTGGCTGTAGAACTTGAAGATAAAGATTTTAAAAGGCCAGAAATAGGTAAGAGCAGGAAGGAAGTCCTCTGGAGAGGAGAGAATTTAGGAGAGAATTTAAGAGCTTTCTATTTTGGCTAGAAAGTAGAGTTCATGAAATGGGAGTGATTGTGGCATAACATTCTTTGTGTCTTGGTTTTTTTGTTTGTTTGGGTTTTTTTGTGTGTGTTGTTTTGTTTCTAAATCTTTGCTTGTATTATGGGGAGGATTTCTGGTGCCTTTCCTGTCCTATTCGTCACATTTAGAGTGGTCCCTATTTGACAGTGTCTGGTCCTCAGCCTATTCTCCCTGACTAGAATACCCTGCCTTCTTTAAATCCTGCTGTTCCTTTAAAACTGTCAGCTTAAATCCCATCTCCTCCTTGAAGCCTTCCCTGACCACTGGATCCCACAATGATCTCCCTCAAATGAGATAACATTTGTAAAAAGCACTTAGCCCAGTACCTGAAGCATAATAAGTACTTATTTGTGGTAGGTACTTAAATGCTTATTTCCTTTCCTTTCCCTTCCCTTCTTTTTCCCCTTCCCTGTCATGACTTCTACATTCAACTTTTGGTACCAAGATTTTTAATGTGTGCAGTAAGACATTGGGCAGCTAGGTGGCACATTGGATAGAGTGCCAGGCCTGGGGTCAGGAGGACCTGAGTTCAAATGCAGCCTCAGACACTAGCTGTGTGCCCCTCAGCAAGTCACTTAACCCTTTTTGCTTCAGTTTCCTCCTCTGTAAAATGAGCTGGAGAAGGAGATACCAAACCACTCCAGTATCTTTGCCAAGAAAACCCCAAATGGAGTCAGACTAAATGACAACAATAACAAAATAAGATATTATTATTATGCTGGTATATTATACTCCAGACATGTAATAGTCACATAGTTCTATTAGTGATGATTATTGTTGTAAATAAA